ATTTTTGGTATTTAATTGAGCGTGGCAACAGCAATAATAAGGTTATAATATTACAAAGGATTTGGAAAATTGTGGGTTATAGTTGAAAAGTGCTTATAGTTAAATAAATGGAGAATTTATTGGAAATTGTTCATAGGTTAAGTTTAGGTTATGTTGAAAGAAGTTTGTACAGATTCGAAAAAATACATCTAGGTTCCATATCGGGCTGCTTTTTCATGGAAAGAAGTATATACAGATTCGAAAAAATACATCTAGGTTCCATATCGGTCTACTTTTTCATGTAAAATGTTGGTGGAATGTTCAGAAACTCTATTTGCTAGACGTAGTTGTTTACAATTTTACAATCTGAGAATTGTTTATCTGATATAACATCTCAAGATACTTGGATCTAAGATTGACGAAGGCTTGAAAAGTTTAAAGAAAAGTTTCTAGCAAAAACGGTATTATTGCCGTTTGTCAAGCTTTACATTGTGCCCGTTAACGAATGGTTCCACAAAGAATACATACCTTCATACTAACCTGGGACTTATTCATTCTGAAGGGACTTCTCGTTGAGGTCACCCTTTTTATTGAAGGTTGTCTCTACCTTACAATCTAATACTATTTTGTATGCTGATATCGCCCTAGTTGTCTTCTAGTTGTCGGAAAATATCTTATCTCCTGTTGACGCTCCATTTCAATTCGTATAAGAATAGGAACCGCTCGGCCTCGTATTTTACATTCCCCTCGATTGAAGGAATGTCCAACAATATTGAAAAAGCTTTGGTGTACGTAGTCGTCATGACCCCAATTACACCTAAGTGTCATGAGCTCACCGTTACAAAAGCCAGTGTATCATATTTGGACTCCATTTCGAGACGATGGCTCTCCAATTATGCTCTTATGAAAACAGTTATTCCCATTTAAGTGGATTAAGAACCTCCACGAAATACCATTTTCTGATTGTTATATCTTACTTCTTGCAACTCTTTCACCTCTTGCAGAACATAAGGTTGATCGAGCCTTTAAGTACCCGGTCAATCTGGAACTTGTCAAAAGAGTTGGTTAATACGGACTGAAACTCATTGACCTACTCTATACACTTAAACTAATTTCGCCATCTGCACTTGTGCCAGAAAGCCTTATATGCTACAGAATTCCCAACTAATCCTCAATCATGCTAGGTTTAAACATTATCTTTCTGATAGCTTCTATAGTTTCATCGGCATTTATTTTCCATATAATCTTATCTTCTGCCCATGTGATTTTGCTTCTTTTGGATGAGATTTTATGAAACTCTTCTTTACGAATCTCCCATCACTTTTGATATTACTGGAAGATTCCACTTCTTGACTAAACCTAGCTGATCTTGCTATTATCATGATCATCACAACTAATATCATGATCATCACAACGCTACTCAGATTTCTTAGTAGATATTGTAGCGTTAACTATAATTTTGTTGACCAGATCTTTTCACTTACTGTACTGGTCTGTTCCCCCTGGGGGCATGTTAACGGATTAATGGCCCTCATCTTGTTGAGAAGAGATGCTACCAGTACCTCTAGTCGGCCGGGACTATAAACTGGTGATGATCAAATGTATCTTCGGTCTTTCATTGGAATGATTTGACATGGTGTTGAACCAGAGAACCACATGATCTGGTACCACGGGAATCGGTAGCCCACAGGGCATAGTTTCGGACTTTGTCTTGTCCCTGTTATTGGTCTGTCCCCCAGCGGGTATGTTACCTTAATGAAAGACCCTTACCTTGGTGTTACATATTGCAATACCGGATAAAAGAGGTGCTATAAACTTGTGATGATCAAACGTATCCTTGGTCTTTCCTTAGAATGATTTGACATGGGTTGGAATCAGAGAACCATATAATCTAGAACCACGTAAACCGGTAGATCGCAGGGCAGAGTTTCGGGCTTTGATTTGTCTCGGTTATTAGAGAGATTCCTTCGGCGTCCACGTGGTAACTGTGGTTTAAACATAAACTGGCGGGAAGAGAATGTTGGTTAAAAGATGAGTAGTAAAGTCTATAATTCAGAGGAGTGACTGTGGTAGAAGTGTGTTGGGTTGAATGGTGATGATCTAAGATATCTTAGGTAAGTGATACTATTGAATTTTCTTTCCTTGATCAAGTATATCCAGGGTTTACTCTTTTCATACCTTTGTGTGAGTAAGAACAAGTCCTCGGCTTATTTGATCGATTCCTGTTTCGGTCTGCCGGATACAAAGGTCATCCCATATGCATGGTTGTAAACGAAAGTGATATTTTTCTATCTAAGAAGTTACGCAACGGGCATCAATGGTCAGAAATTATGCAGATCAAGTACTTCAGCAAAATGCTTGTACATGGGCCGGTAGAACCATGTAGAAAACCACAAAGGGGCGGTGATGATCACCCTTTTCAACCACAGGCCACCAAGGCCTACACGGCAGGTGTTCACTTAAAGAACTTCGACTTCTTGTACTGGTTTGTTGGAATTTTTTCGATCCAATTTCGTTGAGATATCCTAAATTCATCCAACATTTTATATATTATCTGTTGCTCTACTGTATTCATATGCCAGTTGGAAGCCTGTTGAAATAATTTCCGCTACTATACTGTCTAAAATTTTACAATAATATGTAAATTTTATAATTCAACTATATATACATACTTATGTATGTAATAAACTTTGGTCCACCCCTTTCCTATAAATCAGACAACTGACAAGCCAGTAACATTTTCTTGACTTTATTTATTAATGTACATTAATAAGTAACTCCAGTAATTGTAATTTAACATGCAAAAGTGCTATGGAAATAAAAACTCCTCATTAAATTTCTCAAGTTTTCAAGAAATGCAAAAAAAAAAAACTTCGAAATATAAGTAAAATATGTAAAAAAAGTTAGGGGGAAATTAAAGTAAAGAAAACCCCAACAAAAACTTACAATGAAAAGTAAAATTTACTTACATACATATTTTAAGTCATTATTTTAACACAGTGATGCCATTAAAGGCAAATAGTTAACACGCTTGCTTACAAATAAGTAGTTAAATAAGTACTGACCACGATCGCCCGCTAACATTGAGCCAAGTAAATAGTTTTGTTATAAGGATATATCCACTGCGTCTACTATTATATATTTTTTTCGTTTGTAAAAAATAAAAGTCGAAAACAAAATGTTTTTGCTGGGATATCTTGCAAATGACTATTGGTGTAAAAGTGTTTGTGTTACAATTGTACTGTGTAGATGTATTTATGTATTTGAATATGTATGCGAAAGAAAACAATTCACTGTTTAATCCATGACACTATTTTCAATTGCAGTTAATTTTCTATATGAATATGCACAAGTAAATGTTTGTAAATCGCACACATTCCTTTCCTTTTTTTGAGTGGCAACAATTTTCTTATTCCTTTAAAACTATTTGTAATGTAAACACTGTTATTATGAGGAGTGGAAGTAGTTAAAGAAGTGCTACAAAAAATCATAACTTCTTTCTTTACTATCTAACAGGGGAGACAATATTCTGATACAATAAGGATCCTAAATATCATCTGGGGACGAACGACGAAATCTCAACTGAGGTATTAACCCTTTTCAAACCGATTTATTATTGTTATATCTGGACTATACAATCTACGAAATGATTGATTTCCTTCCTTAGAAACAACAGGAGTATAAATAAGAAAGTTTAAAATGAACGAGACAGTGTGTGTGTGTGAGAGAGAGAAGGAGCGAGTGTGTGTGTGGAAGTTCATGCGTGTGTAAAAGTTTAAGTATTTATATACTTGTGGCCATAGTTAATGGCAAATAAGAATCTTAAGGATACTAAAATATAGCACTTTATTTTCAAAAATATATTTATGTGCAAGAATGCTTTTCATTCTGTTGTGTATATTATTGCTGTCGTTGCATGCTACTCTCTGACATACAGACATTTATTAACTGCACATTCTTATCGCTCGAGAGAAAGTAAGTGAGGACGTTATGAGTTGTGTTGAAAAAGTACTGCAAAATATATAGGTCAAGGAATGTAAATGTGAAAAGGAAAAAAATCATGCATAATTTTATGAAAAATACTATATGCTTATGTATGTATATGTGTATTTGTCAGGGTATAAGTAATGCAAACATATTTGTCATACATTATTTTGACGTACACTTTGTATTACTTACATACATATAAGAACATGAAAGTAATTATTGTCGAATGTTGTACAATTTCTTACAGTTTAATATTAACTTCAGTTAACTGTTCTCATAGTGTCTTGTCTATAATCTACTTCGATTGCCTGAGAACAGTTAATGTTCTCATGTTGATTTCAATACGAGTTTTTATTAAGATTTCAACTTCGGTCGCTTGTTTTCATAGATTATTATTATATTTAAAACTTGTCTGTCTGTCTGTCTGTCTGTCTGTCTGTATGACTGTCTGTCTGTCTGGCTGTATGTCTGTATGTCTGTCTGTATGTCTGTCTGTTTGTCTGTCTCTCTGCCTGTGTGTCTGTCTGTCTCTCTGGCTGTATGTCAGTATGTCTGTCTCTCTGTATGTCTGTCTGTTTGTCTGTATAACAGCCTGTCTGTCTGTATGTGTGTCTGTCTGTCTGTCCGTCTGTCTATTGAAAGCGCGTTAGAGTAAGTTTCCAGATTTAATCGAACTACTGACTTCTCGTCCATAAAGAACAGAATTCGTAGAAAAAATTCATTAGAAACCAGAAATTCAGTAAATCTTCTAGGCTTTAACGCAAATGTTTAAGAGCAACAATTTCTACATACGCCAAGCATAACAAAATGTTACAAATATGTAACAAAACCTGTAATGGAGTTGATATTTCCATTTTCTATAAAAAATCTTGATAATATTAATTTACATATTACAACTAACACTAATTGGAAACTTAACGTATTACTTATAACACGCAATTCTAACTAATAATAAAATACATTTATAACTAAACATTTGTTAAACACAACACAAAAACTTAATTAAATTATATTTACCCTTTCTTTACTTACAGATGTCAATGCAAAAATTGACTGATGCCACCAACACCAATTCGGGTTATGTCAGTTCTGAAGAAACCGATTCACTATTGGTCTCTAATACACCTAAATGTAAATCGTCTGTTTTGCGACAAATAAAAATGAATTCCGCTAATGGACCAACAACGAACAATATGACTTCCACAGCATCGACAAAGCCGACATTGATGCGACAGGATCGTACCTCAACATATCTAACCAGCCCACAGTTGTCACAACAAACACGTTTGGGTTCGGACGAAAGTGAACGTAGTGCCCATGTAGCTGATGATGATGTTGAACAGGGTCTTCGACCATCCACAGTGCCTGACATAGAAGTTTATCAAGATGACCAATCGGATCACAATCAAAATCAAAAGCAAACATCAACACAACATCATAATCAGCAACAGAAACAGAATCAGCAGCAGCAGCAACTAACGGCAACATCAACGTCCTCCTCTGCGGCACAGGGTCATCAGTTGCAACAGCAACCAACCATATCAATAACGAATTTAAATCATGGCTATGAAGACAACTCGAATTTGGGAACATCATATCAGAATCTATCAACTAGCCCCATATCTCCGAGTGCCCAAACACGCTGTCGTGCCTGCAGAAACTGCAGTAGGCGTGCCTCAACTACACCCATATCGACAACTGGTCAAATGGATCGTTCAACTTCACGTGATAGTGTTAAAAGTGCCTTTCAACAAGGAAATCTGGGTAGTTCCCTAGTGCCATACGGCTCAAACAATGCCCTGCCCCTTAATGTGCCGCCGGTATTGGTAACGTCTTCTCCAACCAATGGTTCTAGAATAATACGTCAAAGCTCCCAACCAGAATCCAGTACTCTGGCCATATGTTGTGGTGCTCACACCTCCTGTGGTCATTCCCACACCGTGCCTAATGTTTCCCTTAAACAACTGCGTACCGAACCGAGTCAAAGTGATGGTATAGCGGGCATAGCTGCTGATTCTTTAAGAATTAATGGTGGCATGAGACCTTTTAAGCAGGTAAGTCCAAGTAGTTTCTTTAAACAAATTTAATGGGTTTTAATTTGGTTTTTTTACTATACCTTAATGTTTAAATTATATAAAAAATTCCCTTTAAAAAAATGTTTAGACCTGCCCCCTGTAAAAACCTGGTTCCCCTATTTTGTTTATTTACTTTTTGGGCTTTTGATAAAATATGACTAATTTTAAAAGCAGATTTTATATTTTAACTTTAATTCCTGTGTTTATACCAAAAAAAAAAAAAAATAATAAATATTATTAATATATTTCCCTAACTTTATGTGTGTGTGTGTTATGTACTTTTTATTGCCCAGACAACCAATAATAGTCGTTTTGTGTATAAAAATTAATTGTGTTAATTATCGTCGAAAACATAATATAAATCTTCCAAATATTACTCGTTTTGTTTTTCAAACATCTGTTGTTATACACTTTTACCCAATAATCATCTTTCTATTTGTGTTTTCATTTTTTTTATGTTTATTCTAAAAATACATTTAGATTAATTCTTTTACATACATTTTATGCAAACAAATTTAAATGTATTTACATAGTCTATAAACATGTATTAAATTTCCCTGCTATCCATATATTCAGACACACACACATATTCATACAAACATATGTTTTGTAATTGTATTTATTTAGAAGACATTTTTATGATGTATTATTATTGTTGTATTCGAATGTTTGTATTTTTTATTTTATTTTTTTTCGTACTATTAATAATTTTCTTCTTTTTTTAGTACTCATCGCCATATGTTCCTAAAAATAAACTTAATACTAGAAAAGCTTCTTATACTTAATTCTGAGATTTTTATCATCGTTGTGCCAACATTCAAAGTACCATCATTAATTTTATGTCCCTTCTATACATTGAGTTAGCTGGTATTAGGAGAGTCCTTTGCATATATTTAGTTTTGTCAAAAAGTTTAAAAATGTTTTATCTACAACAAGATTCCTAAGAGAGTAGATATAGCAGATAGAGTACGAATAGTTAATTCATTATAGGTTTTAGGTCGAAATCTCACTCAAATCATGTATTGTGAACTTTTTTTCATTTCACTCGGTTATCTATTTCACTCCTTTTCCTTTTAATAATCGTATTATACTATAATTCATATCTGCCAACTGATACATATTTAATGTCTCTATATATTGCTGTATATGTTATCGTTTCATTTTCAATTCATCACTATCCAACAAATTTATTATTATTAAAAATTCATACACATGCCAATAAATAGAAGAACAAAATTATTATTTCATTAATTACTTGTATTTAAACTTAATTATACTAATAATCGCTATCATATTTTAAATGAATAGCAGTAGTTTTTGTCATGTCTGCTGTTCGTAAATTCATTACTTTTTGCGCGGTTAATATGATTTTATTCGGTTTTTATGTTTGTAGCTGATAAAGAAGAATATAGCAATTTGATTTTTATTTAAATTTATAAAATTATTTAAATGAAATTCAATACATATAAATGAATGATTTTTCTACAAAAAGTTATCGACAACTCATAATTTCTAAAAAAAGTTATCATTATGTTAAATTATGTACGACAAAAAATATCTATAACTAGTCCTTTCAATAGAAAACTTGGGAGCAACTTGACTTTTATATAAAAAAGCTTCCGATAACTAGGCTTTTATATGTTATCGATAACTAAACTTTTCTATAGAAAAGATATTGATAACTAAACTTTTCTATAGAAAAGATATTGATAATTTGACTTTTCTATACCAAAGTTATCGATAACTTAACTTTTCTCTAGAAAAGTTATCGAAAACTTCACCTTTCTATAAAAAAGATATCGAAAACTAGACTTTTCAATAGAACATTATCGATAACTTGAGTTTTCTATAGAACAATTATCGGTAACTTAACTTTTATATAGAAAAGTTATCGATAACTTGACTTTTCTATAGAAAAGTTATCGATAACATGACTTTTCTATAGAAAAGTTATCGATATGTTGACTTTTCTATAAAAAAGTTATCGATATGTTGACTTTTCTATAGAAAAGTTATCGATATGTTGACTTTTCTATAGAAAAGTTATCGATATGATGACTTTTCTATAGAAAAGTTATCGATATGTTGACTTTTCTATAGAAAAGTTATCGATATGTTGACTTTTCTATAGAAAAGTTATCGATATGTTGACTTTTCTATAGAAAAGTTATCGATATGTTGACTTTTCTATAGAAAAGTTATCGATAACTTGACTTTTCTGTAGAAAAGTTATCGATAACTTGACTTTTCTATAGAAAAGTTATCGATAATTTGACTTTTCTAAAGAAAAGTTATCGATAACTTGACTTTTCTATAGAAAGGTTATCGATAACTTGACTTTTCTATAGAAAAGTTATCGATAACTTGACTTTTCTATAGAAAAGTTATCGATAACTTGACTTTTCTATAGAAAAGTTATCGATAACTTGACTTTTCTATAGAAAAGTTATCGATAACTTGACTTTTCTATAGAAAAGTTATCGATAACTTGACTTTTCTATAGAAAAGTTATCGATAACTTGACTTTTCTATAGAAAAGTTATCGATAACTTGACTTTTCTATAGAAAAGTTATCGATAACTTGACTTTTCTATAGAAAAGTTATCGATAACTTGACTTTTCTATAGAAAAGTTATCGATAACTTGACTTTTCTATAGAAAAGTTATCGATAACTTGACTTTTCTATAGAAAAGTTATCGATAACTTGACTTTTCTATAGAAGAGTTATCGATAACTTGACTTTTCTATAGAAAAGTTATCGATATCTTGACTTTTCTATAGAAAAGTTATCGATATCTTGACTTTTCTATAGAAAAGTTATCGATATCTTGACTTTTCTATAGAAAAGTTATCGATATCTTGACTTTTCTATAGAAAAGTTATCGATAACTTGACTTTTCTATAGAAAAGTTATCGATAACTTGACTTTTCTATAGAAAAGTTATCGATAACTTGACTTTTCTATGGAAAAGTTATCGATAACTTGACTTTTCTATAGAAAAGTTATCGATAACTAGACTTATCAAAAGAAAAGTTATTGATAACTTAAACTTTCTAGAGAAAAGTTATCGATAACTTGACTTTTCTATAGAAAAGTTATCGATAACATGACTTTTAAATGGATAGGTTATCGATAACTTTGTTTTTCTATATAAAAGTTATTGATAACATGACTTTTCAATGGAAAAGTTATCGATAACTTGACTTTTCTATGGAAAAGTTATCGATAACTTGAATTTTCTATAGATAAATTATCGATAACTTGATTCTTCTATAGATAAGGTATCGCTAACTTTATTTTTCTATAGAAAAGTTATCGATAACTTGATTTTTCTATAGAAAATTATAGTTATTAATATCTTTTCTATAGAAAAATCAAGTCGATAACTTTTCTATAGATAAAGACAAGTTTATTTTCCATAGAAAAGTTATCGATAATATGTCTTGCTTCTCCAAAATTTGTCGATAACTTGTCTCTTTAATATGAAAGTTATTGATAATTTGACTAGTTCAAAAAAAAAGCTATCGGTAGCTTGAATTTTCTACAGAACAGTTAGCGATAGCTGTACCTTCTATAGAAAATTATTGCTACTTTGATTTTTCTATTGATAATTAAATATTCTACAGAAATATTGAAACTTAAAATCGTCTTACTTTTTAATCATATTAACAATTCTACAAATCTGGTTTGTTTGGTCAATACAAAGTACAACATACATACACTTTCCAAATATATGTCCAAAATAAATTTTGATAAATAAATTCTTTCAACAACTTTTGTAAATATTTCCAAGTAATAGAAAAACAATAAACTGCCTGCATTAGTAAAAGTTTTAGACAACAAAATGAAAAGAAAAACAAATTACTTCCCCTTTTTAAACTTAATTGAAAAAAAAAAACAAATTCTTTTAGCTAAAAATTTCTTATTTCCTGTTACAAACTCTACCATCTTTCTATATAAATTTTTTTCGTTTGTATAAAAAAATATAAAATTCTAATACTCTACTTTTCTTTCTATTTTAAACTGTAACAAAAGCTATTTTTATAACATCACAAACTACTTACAAACTATAAACATTTTCCTTTAGGGTGTACTACTAATGCCCCGTACATTGTCCGAAAGCCGAAAATTGCGACTTCGAAGAGCTTTTACTGAGGCCACTAATGAAACACTGCAATGCTCGAAAATGGTATTTAAAATTGAATTGAAATTCTTTTTCCCCCCAAAAAAATAATAAAACATTATAAAGTATTAAATATTGTTTGAACCTTGCATTTGCATTTATTGTCACCAAAAAACAAAAAAAAAAAAAAAAATAATGAATCCAAAAAAGACCCCTGTTTTTCTCTTTCTTGCTGTACTATGAATTGAGAAACTTGCATTTCCAAAAATTTCTCACCAACTGCACCAGTTATAAAGTAGAATTATTGTTTGAAATAATTTTTTACTTTTCTTTCTATTTTTTGTTATTTTGAGTTTTATTTCGAATTTATTATCCTGCATAAAATACAATTGTTTTACTACTGCTCCCACTTGTGTTACAATTGCAAAAAATTGCACTTGCAAGTATGAATGTACGCCTGACTGCCTTGTCAATATTAACCCCTTTGAATTATTTCACAATATATCTAAGTTTGTGCCCCCACCAGCCCCCCTTTAAACCTTTTCCGTTATAAAAGTAATGCTTTTAATATTTATTTTTGTATTTTTTTGGTATGAAGAGAAAAAATTTAAAAGTTTCAAAAATAAAACTATTGTACTAGTATGTAGTACTACATGTTGTATATACTATTGTATAGTAAGTTCTGCAGTAAAAAAATTTATGCATGATGGCTTTAAATTATAGTTTTATATAAATATTTTATTCAATACAAAATTTAAAAATGTTATATTTGCTTTTTCCACAAAAAAATGTCAAAATAAATATTGCAATATTTTTTTTTTCATAAGTGCATATAAGAGTTAAAATATGAATATATGTATGAAATAAATATTAGGGGTATTCATAGTTATGTTAAAATATCTTTAACATTTAACATTCCTTTATTAGAAAATGTTTGAAAATTTAACTTTTCTAAGATACAGATCTGTTAACCATTCTTGAATACGTATACATTTCTGTGAAAATGTTGTCAATAACTTGACTTTTGTATAGAAAAGTTATCGATAACTTGACTTTTCTTTAGAAAACTTAACGATAACTTGATTTTTCTTTAGAAAAGTTATCGATAACTTGACTTTTCTTTGGAAATCTTAAATTTTCTATAGACAAGTTTTTATTAACATGACATTTCTGGATAACTTTGGTTTTTTTATGAAAAAGTTATCGATAACATGACCTTTCTAAAGAAAAGTTGACAATAACTTGTCTTTCCCATAGAAAATATATAGATAAATTTTCTATAGAAAAGTTGCCGATAACTTGACTTTTTTATAGAAAAGTTATCGATAACTAGACTTTTCTATAGAAAAGTTATCGATAAATTGACTTTTCTATAGAAAAGTTATCGATAAATTGACTATTCTATAGAAAAGTTCTCGATAACTTGACTTTTCTATAGAAAAGTTATCGAAAACTTGACTTTTTTATAGAAAAGTTATCGATAATTTGACTTTTTTATAGAAAAGTTATCGATAACTTGACTTTTCTATAGAAAAGTTATCGATAACTTGACTTTTCTATAGAAAAGTTATCGATAACTTGACTTTTCTATAGAAAAGTTATCGATAACTTGACTTTTCTATAGAAAAGTTATCGATAACTTGACTTTTCTATAGAAAAGTTATCGATAACTTTACTTTTCTATAGAAAAGTTATCGATAACTTGACTTTTCTATAGAAAAGTTATCGATAACTTGACTTTTCTATAGAAAAGTTATCGATAACTTGACTTTTCTATAGAAAAGTTATCGATAACTTGACTTTTCTATAGAAGAGTTATCGATAACTTGACTTTTCTATAGAAAAGTTATCGATAACTTGACTTTTCTATAGAAAAGTTATCGATAACTTGAACTTTCTATAGAAAAGTTATCGATAACTTGATATTTCTATAAAAAAGTTATCGATAACTTGACTTTTCTATAGAAAAGTTATCGAAAATTTGACTTTTCTATAGAAAAGTTATCGAAAAGTTGATTTTTCTATAGAAAATTTATCGATAACTTGACTTTTCCATAAAAAGTTAACGATGACTTGATTTTTCTGTAAAAAAGTTATCGATGACTTGATTTTTCTATAGAAAAGTTATCGATAACTTCACTTTTCTATAGAAAAGTTATGGATATCTTGACTTTTCTATAGAAAAGTTATGGATAACTTGACTTTTCTGTTGAAAAGTTATCGATAACTTGACTTTTCTATTGAAAAGTTATCGATAACTTGACTTTTCTGTAGAACAGTTATCGATAGTTAGACTTTTCTATAAAACTGTTATCGGTAGTTTTAATTTTTAATGAGGAATTATCAATATTTCGACTTTTCCATAGAAGAGCTATTAGCAGTTTCACTTTGCTATAGAAGAGTTATCGATGGTTTTACTTCTCTTTAGAAAACTTATCGATATTTCAACTCCTGTATAGAAAAGTTATCGATAGTTAGACTCTATTTTTCTCAGATAATTTGCGGAACCTTGTCTATTGATATCTTAATTATAGTAAGTTATCGCTTTACTTTTTGATAACTTTTCTATAGAAAACTTATCTCTAACTAATTTTTGTATTGAAAAGTTATCGATAAGTGGTCTATTGTATAGCAATCAAGCTTTATAAAATTTATCTATATTAAGTAAAAGCTATTGAGAATTTAATGGTTACTTTTGGTGAAGTGCATATCCTTAATAATACAACAACAATTCTATGCAAATAAACTTACAGCTTACTAAATTACTAAAACATTTTGTTGGTGGCATTAAAAATTACACTATATGAAAATTTAACATATTTTACTGTCTACTTTTTATCTACACCATCAGAGTTGAAAAAAAAAGAAAATAATCACTTGTGCTAAAAACCCAAAAGCCACACCGCCAACAACAATGACGTACAAACCCACTTATTTATCTGGCCAACAACTATATTTACATAAAATATTAAATATGTGCATATATTTATCACCGTTATCATGATGATGATGATGATGTGATACCACAATTTTAAACCATAAAAAAAACTATCACACACTAAAGGGGAAATGGAAAAAATATATATTATTATAGTTATCATTTAAGGCACGTCAAGTGTTTTTAAAGCTGACAATCTTATTTTGGGGACTAAAATGTAATAAAAATGTAGAACACAGTTCAATACGTCATAAAACTAAGAATACTTATACGATTGAAAAATATATACATACATGTATTGATGGTGAAAGATTGATACCAGGTAACTGACATATTTTTTGTTGGCCAGAGATTATGATGCCAAATCATTTATCTATAAAGCTAAAAATTATTTTTATCATTAACTTATTATACAAAATATATGTTCGTTATGTGGTAGCAAGCTTTCACCAGAGATTTTCTTAAATGAAAATGTTGACAATAAATGTTGAAAACTAATGCCCACTTTAACATGTCGAATTATGAAAACAACAGGACATTAAACCCTCCTCCCCTTTTCTTGGTGACATTTAAGGATTAAATGTAAAGCTTTTTATGTCTGTTTTTACCATTTTATTGTCATCACTTTTGTTGTTATTGTTAAATGTTATTTACTTTTATCAAGCTCATTAAGTTTTGGTTGTTAGTTGTTATAACATTTTGATAGTAGTTTTTTATATTTAACGGTTAAGTTTAAAAAAAGCTTTTAGTATTTTTTTTTTCTTTAGTTTTACTATCAACATATAGATGACGCTTTAATATAGAGACAAGATAACAAGGATAATACTGTTACAAA